TTAGACTATTTTTGGAATGATGGTCACAATGTTTCAATAAAAAAGGACGCGCCTGTTTCAATCGTGGGCGCCTTTTTTTCATCACCCTGTATATTTGTAACAAATTATTATAATACATTTTTAGCAAAAAATTATCTTTGATTTTTGTTCTCAGTTGGCCATGAATAAATCTTGTTTCTTCAACTAAAAGGATTTAAACTATTCAACCAATGTTACTAATGAAAGAGTTTTCTAAGTACTAAATAATGAAAAAAAATGCAAAATAAATTGTAAATCAACTTATTGGCGACTAATAACATTTTTTTCTTGTTTTTAAACAAGCTAACATTACTATTGTAACTTCTAGTGATACATAGGGTGTTGTAAAAAAAGCGCTTTAATTCTTCAATAATAGTAGATTATGTTATTAGGAGTAAAAGTGATTGTTTATGTGGCGAAGCTGAACGTTCATTTTGCCGGCAAGGAATGGTTGACAATATTTTACGCAACATATTCTTTTGCGAGGCATTGTAATGCTTGAAATGCAAAATTCAAATTTTCAACTCAAATTTCAAATAATTTACGACGTTTGGCGCGTAATTTGGTAACTATGGGAACAAGAAAAGTCTTCAGAAGAAACTAACAGATGGCGATACATTAGAGTACGGTGTCAGAACCACTTTTTTGCCACCAGCAGCCGGGTGAAGGAAAACTTCCTTCATTAATCAAGGAAGCTGTGGTCAAAATTTATGAAAATTTTTGTTACATGAATCCACAGAATAGTGCATTATGACACGTGTTTTATAAGAAGCGCAGCAAGGAGTGTTATAAAGCAGTGAGTGCAGTGAGGAACGGAGTGAGGCAAATGGATTCAGCTGAGCCACATAAACTCACTTTTACTCCAAATAACATATACTATTTTATCTGCAAACGATTCAGATGGAACGAAAAGAGCAACACACCAATAATCAAGTAAATCACCTCAATAATCAGGATGCTTTGCAATAAAATCGTAACAAACGTCACGCGTCAGTTTCGGAATTTGTGTTGAGATTTCGAAAGTGTTGATTAATTTGACTGGTGAATAACTGGTGTAGTTTATGTCGAATGCTGATAATCTAGCTTGTACCTCTCCAGAAAATGCTGAAAAAGCGAAAGAGACAAGAAAGAGACAACAGTGATAAATGCAAAAGTAAATGTCAAGTAAAAGTGAAAACGCCTAGGCGTAAAAACAGTGTTTTTACTCCATGTCTGAAAAGTAAAACTTTTACCTGTGTCATTTAGTCATAAAAGTGGTCACTTTTGTGACGTTTGCGGATAAAGTATATTTTATATGACACAAAAATGACGATTCAAATACCCAAATTCCGTCTATGTGGAACGTTATCCTACCTCCATTAGATCATCAAAAAAATGTTTTTCTAATTGTGTTGACTGTAGACACATTTGTTTTTCCTATTTTTGGATTTTGTTCTAAGTCGCTCGCATATTTGTTCAATACTTCTAACGTATCTTATTTTTTAAATTTTTATAATTTAAAATAATAATTAATTAAATAAAATTATTATTATAAATATAATAATAATCTATATTTTCATCTATTTTACACAAAACTCTTATTGATTATTATTTACACATTGGGAGTGAAATAGTTTTTCCATGGCCAACTATTATCAAACAAAATATGTATTTCACTTTTTAAGTATAATTATAAAAAAATATTCTGTTACAAATATATATTTTTTAGATCAGAAAAAAATAAGCTTTTTAAAATTGCCAAAGCCGCCTATGATTTCTATTTAAAAAATTACAAGTTTATCTTATTGCGTCTAAACCAATAACTGAAAAAAAAAGTTAACTACATTATTAAATTCTACATAAAAAAGTGCCTGTATAATGTCTTTATTTCAAATCTGTGTAAGGAAGATATGAATTTTTTTAGGTTTCGCTAAAATGTCAATTTTTGGCTATAAGTCGAAAACAAAAGACAATAGAGGGATGCGGTTTTAACCAATATTATTTTCCCAAAAGATGAGCCCCAGAATGTATTACTCGTTTTTAGCTAAATCTCTTAGTTTCGGAGATTTCCTATTCGGACATCCAAAGTGCAGCACCCTGTACATTGTTGTTGTATAAAATGAATTAAAACAAAATATTGTTACAAAATTTTGTTCTAGTTGTTTTAAGATTAAAATTATAAAAATAGCCAAAGACAAAAATATGAATAACTTGATCAACTTTCACTGGTGCAAAATATTAACTTTCACAATCAAGCATTTTTAACGTTTTAATAATAAAATTTCCTTCCAGATATTTTTCTTTAATTATTGCTCTCAAACTTCTATTTTCTTTGAATTATTTCGTTTGAGAGGATGTTCCAATTTCCGCAATTTTTCTTATACTAACGCAAATAAATCATTCCGCTTCTAAAAGGTTCCTTTTGTTGCAGTGACTCCAAAAGTAAAATGCACTCCCGAGCTGATGAGGGTGGAGATTCCCATTTCGTCGTCAACGAAGCGCGTCTACCTGGGCAGTTTACGGGACTACCCCGACCCCGCCTGCAGGCCCTACACGGACCCCTCGGGAACTCTGGCGGTGTTGGAGCTCAACCTGACTGATGTTTATCGATGTGCCGTCACCAGAGTCGTCAACAAGCAGACGGTACACTTTTTTCAATTAATCAATATCTCCACCTGCCGTCTCCCTTAAAGTCCTATTATTCCTGGCGCGTTGCTTTGCTTCCGAGATTTATATGCACAGGAGGAAATTGCTTTCATGTATCTATTTTTGTTTCTGCATTACCATTAGACTTGTTTCTGGAAGTTTTTTTTCTATTAAAACATTAGTAAGCTCTACCGTGAGAACGATAATCCTTTTATAGGGTTTAAGCGCGATCTGAAGAGAGCTTTATTTAATTTCGAGATAAAATTATTGTTGAGCTAATCCTGGCGACGGCGAAATACCGACGTTTTATCCATTAATAAAGAAGTTTTAAAAGGATTGACTGAAATGGAGGAACGACATTGAAGTGAAAGCTCAAAATTTATTGGAAATTAACTTTGAAACTAGCCGATTATAAAGTTCTGCTTTAGTGGAAGAACTATCTAAGAATAAAGCATTGCCAATTAAGCTCATAGTCACATCGGATGCATTATGAAAATTTAAAGTCTACTAAATTTATTTATTACAACATAATTTAATTAAAAAAAAAACAACTCAGATAATCTATATATAGGGTATTCCATTTTTATTGTTACAAATTTAACCAGGTGATAGAATATTCAATTTTAAGATAAAAGTTTCCTTTAAACATTTATCGAAAAATTTTATGTAAGGGAACCACATCCCCTGAAAAGGGTGCATCTTTTAATGGATTTTTTCAATATTTCAGAAACCACGTAGATAAAATTACAAAATTTCGTACAACTTTTATACACCCAAATGAATTCAAAGATAAAATGTCGAAATTTTTACTCAGGGTCGTCCTAAAGTGACCTAACTATTTTGACGTTGGTTATTGCTTCTTCACTTTCAGCTGCAAAATTCTAAATTTTATAGTTTTTCACAAAAAGAGCTCTCTTGCGTTTTTTTGATAAAACTTACCGTTTTTGAGTAAAATCAGTTTACAATTTATCTTACAGACCATAAAGAGGATAAAAATTAAAAATTAAATTTGTTTCACCGTTTAAGAGACCCTCGATTAAAAATTTCGACAACTGATCTTTAAATTCGTTCAGGTGTTTAAAAGTAATCAGATGTACCAACTCTTGTAATTTTATCTATTCTGCAATACTGTGAAAACCCCATTAAAAACGCATCTCTTTCAGAGGGTGTAGCTCGCTTACGTAACATTTTCATAGGAAACTTTTGTCTTAAAATTGAATATTCTATCACCTGTTTAAGTTTGTAACAATAAAAACGAAACACCCTGTATATAAAAGAGTTACTTGACTGACTAACAGACAACGCACAGCCTAAACCTCTGAAGCTAGAAATATGAAATTTGGCAGATATATTCCTTAGAAGGTGTAGAGGTCCGCTAAGAAAGGATTTAAAAAAAATCAACCTCTAAGGGGGTTAAATGGGGTTTAAACGTTTAAACAAAGATAGAAACAAAAAAATTAGAAGATATGTTCCTTAGCGGTTGTGATGGTGCACTAAGACGAGATTTTTCAAAAGTAATTAGTAAAAATTTATTTACTCTGTTAGAAAAGGGGGTGAAACGGGTTATATAAGTTTAAAAGAAAATAGAAATATTAAATTTAGAAGATATGTTTCTTATCAATTGTAAATGTGCACTAGGACAAGATTTTTTTTTAATAATAAGTAAAAACTTATTTACCTCCTTAGAAATGGGAGTGGGGTATACACTTTTAATCAAAAATAAAAACATGAAATTTGGACAATATGTTCTTTAGAGTGTGTAGAGGTTCGTTAAGGAAGGATTTTTTATAATCAATCTATAAGGGGATGAAATGGGGTGTAAACATCTTCGTTTAAACGAAGATAAAAATATAAACTTTGGGAAACACACTTAAACGAAGATAGAAACATAAAATTTGGAAGATATGTTCTTTGGCGGTTGTAAAGGTGCACTAAGACGAGATTTTTATAAATCAGTTTTAAAGGGGGTTAAATGAGGTGTACATGTTTAAACGAAGATAGAAACATGAAATTTGGAGAATATTTTTCTTAGAGAGTAGAGAAGGCACTTATCAAAAACCAACCTATAACGGTATAAAATTAGGTGCAAACATTTAAACAAAAATATAAATATAAAATTTAAAATTTTGAGATTTGAGGGTGTAGAAATGCACTAAGAAGACACTTTTTGAAAATTCGACGAGGTGAAGCGTTTATAACGTACTTTCGTCTTTGTTTTAAAAATCGGGATTCTGATGCTTTCACGTTGTTTTGAGTTGGTGAATCAAGAAAAAATAGATAAACAGACTAACTTCACATTTCTTCTTTAAAAAACAACAAAAATTTATATCGAAAATCTACGTGGACGAAGTCACGGATGCAAGCTAGTAAACTTATTAATGTCCAACTTCCACAGTTCATTATATCAAGCAAGATTCTTCACTTGGATCGAAAATTGCGACAAAACTAACTGTTATAAAATTTAGAATAGTGTTATACAGAGTGTCTCAGTATCTTCTTTGGAGAAGACGGAAGTTTTTAATTTTCATAAGAATAGACAATGGCTACATGAACACTTTATTTCTAATTATTTTTTTTATTTTGTATTAATTCATTTGTATTTGTTTGTATTAAAAATAAATACGGAGGTGTCATCCGCTTGTTCAGCGACTTTAAACCATTTTATTAATTTTGAGTTTTAACTTGATAAAAATTGCATTTCAATTAGGCGTCTTAAAATGGATTTAGACTTTTTAGTACTTTGCAAAGAGTAATGTTATTGAATTATTCAACTTAATAGCAGTTTCAGCACACTTAATTCTTAGTTAAAGTTTTAGTCAGTTCTAAGCTGTACACACAAGAATATTAAAGTGCATTTAATATTAATGATTCTCCGTTCTGGACTCTAATCTATTCAACTCCATCAGTAATCCAACAGTGTTTCTGTTTAATTCAATAAACTATCTAAAATTAGTATCAATCCGGATTGAATTCTTGTCAGATTTATCTTTTTCACTCGTAAAACGATAAATAATTAAAGCGGAAAAACCGTTTCACATATTAAATTTGTTCTGCAAATCCCTCATGCAAGTTTGCTAGAGCATCTAATTGAATCAAGGCGTTTGGTCCACTGGCTATACCATTTGAAAGCTTTTCACTGCTGAAAATAATTTCACTGAACGTCCAAATTCTTTTAACTTGTGATTCACACTTCATGTTTTACTAAATTGGTTTTACTAATTTTTCAAGCGTCACTAAAACGTTGATAAATTTACACCTACACGTCGTGTTGTTAGTTTTTCTTTTAATCTTTTTAATTTTTCTTTACGTATTTCCTCGTGAAAAGCTTTCTGAAAATTGATTACGTGTTTTGACGTCGAGAATGGGAAAATTAATGTTAAGTTTCGCTTCCTTCCAGGGCAAGCAAATTTATTACCAAACATTAGTGATAGAATCCTTGGAAAATGTGGAAGGAGTGTCGAAAGAGATCCAGGAAACCCTCCACGTAAAGTGTTCCTTATTTTCCTCAAGGAATCATTCGATAACCCGACGAGACGTGCTACCTGCGGGATTCCAAGAAGCCGAGTAAGCCCTCAGTACAAATTAATTTTTTTTATCAAATAACAATGATTTTTAGGGACGCCGACTTACAATTTATGAATATATCCGAATCTCGAGCTCCCGACCCGATCTTGGGAGTGGGAGTGCGCCAAGCCGGGAAATTGGTTACAGGAGAATTGAACGTTTCTCCGGGAACTCCTCTCCAAATGGAGATTTTCCTGGATAAAGCCTCTGCACCTATTTATGGTCTCTTAGTCACACATATGCAAGTCACCGACACGAATGTCCAAGAAGAAACAATTATCTACAATGGGTGAGTAATTAGAGTGGGTTGTGACCTCTACCCATATGGGCAGATGAGGTTTTTGACTCGCTCTTTACTTTTACTGTCTCGTAAACAAATTTCAAGACTATTTGTTAAGTTATTTTTGCTTGATTTTGATAGTTTTTCGTTAATTGTATCACCCGCTGGGATTTAAAGGAGTGCGTGAGAAACTCAAATAAAGTATCCTCGAGTTATTTTTATGCTTGTTGAACCACCCACACACCAAATTTCGATAACAAAATAAATTTGCAGGAAAAGTGAAGATTTAATCTAGTTGAATGATAATTTTAATGATACTTTTTTTATAATTAAAAATAGTAACTAAAGAAAATGTAACAAAATATAATTTTGTTTGGTTACATGTTTTTTATAGTTATAAACACGAGACAATATGTACACAACATGAAGCAAATACCTACACGTGCAAATTAACGCAACAAGAATATGCAAGTGCTTTATAAACAGAAAATTGCAAAGTTGTTTTTCAAACATACAGGATGCGCCAGAACTCGCGCCCCAGAGAAAAGGTAAGATACCAGGAACATGAAAAAAATTTTATCTATAAAAATTTCGAAGTTATGAGAGTTTAAATTATGCACTTTGACTATTTATTTTTGTTGGAAAAATAATTTTCCAAGTTTTTATCTATACACTATTAAAAGAGGTAACAAGGAAGCTGTATCCTAAATTGTAACTCTGTTCAGTGTTGTTTGTGGCTTTCATTGGCAAAGTTTTGTACCTTTACTAAATAATTGTAAAAAAACATATACAAGATCATCAGTATCATTAAATAGACATAAAAAAATGTCAAATGTCAAAAAATAAATGTCAAATTTTTTTCCATGTTCCTGGTATCTTATCTTACTTGAAATGGTGAAAAGTGGGGAAGAAATTATTGCTATACTTTTTTTATAAAGAGACTTTATTATAAAATTTTCTATTCTCAGAAAGTTGTTTTTAGGTTTTTAAAACCATTGAGCATTTTTCTATAATTTGTAGCAACGTAAGCAATTACAAAAAGTGGATTAAGTAGCGATGGAGGTTTGTTGAAATCATGGGCGCAAGGTAAAAAAAAATTGTAATAACAATAACTCTTGATAATATTTGGAATTTCGTATTTATTTTAATCTTTTTTAGTAACCTTGCATTCTTTCGTTTTTAATGTCAAAGATGTCTTAATTTTTTTATTTTCCACTGCGAAAAAATAGATCAAGTTTATCATTTATGTTATTCTATTTTGTTTTTCCATTTTTCAAATAAATTCAAAATTAAGTTTTTTAGTGAAAAACTCCTTGAAAAAAAGTGTCTAATTATCTCAAAAACTTCAAAATGACAAAATATTTTACAAAAACCTTTTACTATTCCAAAAAATTTAGTACCCCAATGAAAAATGGTCATAATTAGATTTAAAAAAATCCATTTTAAAGCTTAAAGTTTCTGGTCTTGAAATCTTTTGGCAAAAAATGTTCTGAGCTACGGTTATTACGTAATCCTAAGAAATAGCGCTAGAAAAAAATGTTTTCTTTTATTCTTTTTTTTTGGTCCACGGAATTGCGGAAAATTTTGTTAATTAAATCAATACATGAGCCGGATAACTCGTTCCTTCAGTTTTAATTTGTTTTTTTTATGTTTTCTTTACGTCGATTTGTCGCTGAGATATTTGACTTTTAATAAAAAAGGATTTTTTGTCTTTGATCATCGATATCTCAATAACCAATGACCGCACAGACAATGTAAGAACAGTTTCAAAAACTGGAATAAATGTTCTGCAAGATGTTTTTACGATTTTTTGAAAAACAAATATACTTGCAATATTGACTTAAAAAAAAGATTAAAATCACTTTTTTGTTGTTGTTGTAAAGTTACCGTGTATTCACAAATATTGATGGGGAGACTAAATATGTCATAAGGTTTTTTTATAGTCTAAAGCACGCCCAATAACTAAACTGTTTTCTCGGACCGATTGATCAAATTTTTTCGCCTTTTTCTACAATTTTTCATGTTAAATTTGAAAAAAAAAAATTCGAAAAAACCAATACTGACTAATTTTTAAAACCATTTATTTAGCTTTTGCATACCTTAATTAATTGCATTAATGAAAAGTTGATACCCCCCAAGCTGTATTCAGCACTAGATTTACGAACATAAATGCAAATTTTTAAAAAGTAATTTTTTTATTGTATACGATTTGTTTTTCAAATTTAACGGTGGTGTATTATTTTTAAAATCTCACCAACTTGAAGAATTTTGCATTTTTGAACATGTACTCTTTTCTTTACACTTTTTATTGCATATGTTATTTATTGATTCTTTTCTTTTGCACTAAATAGGTAATATAATGATATAGGATGTAATTTTGATAGTGATTATCGTATATTTGCTGATGATCTTAAGATATTTAGAAAGGTTTCGGAATCTCGTGACATGTCTGTACTACAATCTGATTTAAATAAGTTACAAGACTGTTGTGCAAATAACAAAATGTTTTTAAATGTTGAAAAGTGTCAGTCTATTGTTTTCAGCAGGAAAATCTCTCCAACCCTACCGAATTATTTTATTAATAGTACAAAAATTACAGTAAAACAGTCTGTGAGAGATTTAGGTATATTACTTGATAGTAAATTAACTTTTATTCAACACCTTGAATTTATCATTTGTAGAGCTAATAAGGCACTTGGCTGCATGCTGTCGTGAGTTTAGAAATTTTAATTCCATCAAAATTCTATTTGTTTTACATGTACGTTCTATCCTCAAATATGGTTCGATAATATGGAATCCGCATTACAAAATTCATGTTGGTAGGCTTGAAGCAATACAGTTTAAGTTTTTTAAATATATAAAATGGTTGCTGCCTTATTATGTGCAAGATAATTACAATATTTCATTAAATTATATGTGTCTTTCTACACTTGAAATTAGAAGAAGATATCAGGCTTTATGTTTTGCTTATAAACTTTTAAATAATTTGATTAATGATACTTCAATACTAAATTTAATTAATTTTCACGTTCCACAGTATAATAGTAGATCTAACCAATTATTCAAAATTTCGTTTTCACACAATAATTATCTGTTTAATTCTCCTCTAAATGATCTTTTAAGAATTTGTAACATGTACAGTGTCAAGTTGGACTTTTTTAATTTTAAATCCTTTAATAGCTTTAAGCGTTTCTAAATATTTTCTAAATATTCAATACAATAAATTCAGAGAAGAAGAAATCGTTTTTTTGCGTAATTGTTCTCAAGTCCGGCAAGTCAGTTTTTTGCTTATGTACCCACTGAAAGACGGCGCCCGTGGTTCAAATAGCAGCTAAAATTGTTGAAAAAAAAACATAAACGAGTGGGAAAATTTTCGGTACTTTATGCAGTTAATTTCCTTTTTACATATCTTGTATTTAATTCGAGTCAATTTATAGTTGCTGTTTTGTTTACCTTTTTGCTACTATTATTTACCTTTCTTGTCAAATTTCGCATAGCCTCACTCCCAATCGGTCTAATTCTCGAACTTACCCAATTAATAACAAACTCATTCTAACTTCGCTTGTTATAATTTTTCAGGTGTTCCGTCGATCCGTATTTATTCGAAAACTTCAACACAGTGGACGGTGACTTTCTAGCCGCCAAATTTCGAGCTTTCAAATTTCCCGAATCGACTTATGTCCAGTTTAAAGGAACGGTCAACGTCTGTCTCGACAAGTGCAAAGGGGTAAGAGTAAATTTTAATTACGCCTACCCAGAAGTTTAAATCCATCTGAATATTCATAAATACACAAGTAATATTGTAGGCCACTAGTTGTTTTATTGTAGCTCACATGAATATTCAAACCTGAACCAAACTTTATCATACGACCTCCTATTAGTGTTTATATTCACTCTGAAACAATTTCACTTATACGAGAATTCAATTTTTGGTGTAATAAAACTTGTTTTAATTAAACTTTCCGATACAACAACCGATTAAAATGTTCATGCGAAAAGCTACAAGGTGTAAAAGTGACGTTGCGGTTTAAATGAACGAACTTTGTTGGGGATTTGGCGAACGTGAACAAAACTATTTCTCCAACTTCGCTGCACCTATTCCACAGGTTTGGCTAAATGAAAATCTTTCGTTTATAAACAATGACTTCACTTTTAAAAACTACAGAAAATTGTCGTAACTATTCTTACAACTGTGGATAAGGTAAATTATGATTATTTCTACTTAGATCTTTTTAAATTCTTTCCACGTTTTCAGATTGCATTTTTGTTAATAAACTATTTTTGCTAAAGATAGCTAAACCAAAAAAAAATGTGGCAACTTGTCAATCAAAATAGACCAGAATAAATTAAATAATTATTTCGTAAGTGTTGCACAAAAAGTCGTCATCACATAATTGCTGTATGTATGTACAGACTTGTAGATGTTGATGTAGATCCTATCAACCTAATGTGTAATGTAAATCCGATAAGAAATTATTTTGAATTTTCTACAGTCTCGTGCATTGAAGTCAGAGATGCTACAGCAAATTTGAAAAATACAAACAGTAGAGATGTGTATGGAATAAAAACCACAGTTGTAAAGGCTGTTATTGATAACTTAGTATCTCCTTTAACCAAGCTAATAAACCATTGCATAAATCAAAAAACATTTAAAGTTTAAAGTTGTCTACGGTTATCCCAATATTTAAGAAAAGTGATACAAATGATCCAGGAAATTACCGCCCAATTTCCTTGTTACAAAGATTTCCTAAAATTTTTGAAAGACTATTGTTTAATCAAATTATTAAACATTTAAATTTAAATAACATATTAGCTAATAACCAGTTTGGATTTTGCTAAGGCAAAAATACATCTAATGCCATAAACAAACTCGTAGAATATATAATCGCTTTTTTTTAAACAAGGCATCTTTTACTCAGCTGATTTAAGTAAAACAAATCTAATTTGTCAGTTGATGAGCGAGTTCTCTTATGGAAACTCTAGGATTTTCTTCGAATGATAAGAGAACATTCAGATTTCTATTTCCTTGTTCTTCACAAAGAACCACGGGTTTTTTAGTTTTAAGAAGCGAACCTATTTGTCTCAGTTGTGTTTCAATTCGACTAAATTTTCAACGATTTGGGTAAATTCTATTCGAGTATTTTTCTCTATACGGTCTTTTAGCTTCCGCTCTATTTTTATTGCACTTAAAAAACACTTCAAGCTTATCTACCAATTCGTCGTAATTAATATCATTCATTATTAAAGATCTCAATAAGATTTATTCACAAATTAGGCTTTGTCAAACTAACAATTAAACGGTATCCAAGCATATTGCTTTTTGAATAAATACCTTGGCAAGTAAAATCCGCCTACGTTGCAAAATTTGCAATAAAATTTAAAAATTTAAATTGTTTTCTGAGTGCATTATGTAAAGTAAAATGTAATAAATAGTGGTTTACCGTATTTTTCATGCCAATTATTATTGTTTTGAGCAAAAAACATAGGTGTTCCATTTGAAAAACTAAATTTGGTAGCATTTCCGGCTACACCGGATGTGCCAAAAAAATTTGATGCATTTACTAAGAAAACGAGAAATGAATAGTATTATTTGAAAATATAGTTTTTGAAAAAAAAAGGGAAGTTTAGGTGTTATCTGCGGGGCGACTTGGACCGAACACCCTGTATATGTATACTTTGTTTATTTGACATGTGCAAAACCTGTATGGTGTTCGCATTAATAAAGATATGTTATGTTATGTTAAGGATGTTTGTCAGCATCGCACAAGGAAAATGTTTCTTTGTTATTTGTGAAAACGGCTAAATCTGCACGATGTGTTGAAACTTTTCCCGAAAAAGAAATCTGTTTTATGCGCTACAAACGTCGTCGAGGTTACACAAGGATTCGGCTTAAGAGTTATTGATGTCAGAAGACACAAACTTATTGGATAAAAAAACAAAAAGCTTAAGTCTGATTTCCAAACTTTCAAATAGTTCTAATTTGCTCTAAATTGTACGATAAATTTCTATTCGATGAGTCAATTACTGTTATTGTAAAACTTTTTTGATACAATTTCGTTTTAAAAGTTTCGTTATATTGTGTATAAGAGGAGAAATATGAAGTTGTTTCATTGTATGAAAGTAAATTGAAAATAATATTTCATCTTATTACTACTTGCTACACCCATCTAACTCGAAGGAAACTCATTTTTTCGACTTATTTTCTTTATGTACTCAGCTTTTTAGTTCTGAAGTTTATTTCTGTTCCAGGTGGAGTGCAGCGACGGCCAAATCGGCTACGGGAGAAAGAGACGAGCCATTTCCTCAAATCCCAGCAGTCCTAACGGCTTATTCGAAATAACCATCACGTCGTTCATAAAAGTCGATTATGAAGAGGGATCAGAAAACTTGAAAGACCTAATCGAAAACCAGACAGTGATGTACAATAACAAGATGCTGATAGTTGGCAATCAAATGACGGATAATCGGAGGTTTTATAAAACCGTCGATGACAACAACTTAAAAAGCTTAGAGAGCAAAGAAGAGCGCTCTTATACTTCCATTGTGGCCGAGAATTCCTCGTCGGCGCGCAATTTCGATCTAGCTCTAATTTCGCTTTTAGTTTTATTCAGATTGTTCTTGTAAATAGGTGCAGAAACGAATTGGAATAATTGCGATGTAAATATGTCTGTGATAAAAACATTCTTCATATAGGATCATCTGCACAGTGATTGTCAGCGAAATTACGAGAGGATTTGTAAAAATGCAATACTAATTTAATTACTGCCAGCTTAATTTAATTAACATGACGGCCATTAATTTTATCAAGACGAAATCAACGATTCGTGAGAAAGTTGCATGTAATTATATTTTCGAACATAAAATTTATTACGTGCAAATACCGAGAATTTTTAATGAACCAGCTTCTAAAATATTGAGTCTTAACTGTAATAACAACTATTTTTAAATTAATATTAATTATTTAACTAGTCTGTATTTTGAATAAATTCTCTAATTTTACTGTCGTCTTGTTTTATTTCCTGTCGTTAATTAAAACATAAATTAGGATTTGAAAGAGTACATAAAAATCAATTGAACAGTTCATTAGTTCGCTACTTCTTTAAAAATTATAAAATTAAAACACCGTATTTTAAAAAAAAGTAAAAAGCATGAAAGCTGAGTTTTTAAAAGCATTTTTGAAAACTAAATAAAAGTATCTATAACTTTTTTCTACTAAAAACAAGACAAAACTTAAACTTGCTACTTAAATTTAGTGAGAAGACTGGTTCCAATCCAGTGCTAGATTTCATTTTAGACAAACCAAAACTTGTAGTATGAACTTCTTGAAGGTAAATTTAATAACTGGTAAACTCGCGTTCTTTCTGAAATTACAAGAGACGCTTCAGGAAATTAAGTCGTTTTGTATGATTAGAGTTGTAAGTTTGAAGTTTTTCCTGTTTTTACAATGTGATGTTTTAAATTGCGCCAGATTGAAACTTTTAAAAAACTTACTCAAATGGAATTATACAGTAAAACAACCCCTTTTTGTCAGGTAAATGAGTAAATACTAAACTAATTAAAATTGAATTTGATAAATCTTTGAGATAATTTTGTTAAAAACAGTACTACTTTTCATATAAGAGAAGAGAAGAGAGAAGAGTTTTGTTTTGAAATATAAAAGACATGAGTTTACTTCCTTGTTAAAACAAAGCTTGATTCATTTACCTAAGTCAGTTAGATCTAAAAGTATTTTAGTGCTTCTCTACTTCAAATATTTGATGTAAATACATAAAAATTATATTTAATAATATTTTTATTTATGTAAAATAAAAAGAAAATAATTTTAATAAAAATTCGGTATTTTACAAAAAAAAAGTAACGTATTCACTCCCATAGCTTTTGAGTGCTGAAAGTATGTTATCACAAGTGCATCCCAAATCAGGACACGACTTCTATCCTCGAATAAATTGCAATTTAAAATTCCGCATTTTATCTACAAATGGAATGAATTTAATTAAAGAAGCGCATGTTGGTTCAAACTAAAACAAAATTTAGCAAACTGCAATTTATTTGAGTAAAACGGACATAATTTAGGTGAGTTTTCCGGTGTCTAGTTAAACCGGCTTCTTTTTGGACTTCACCCAAAAATGCAATTAGGCTATGGAACCATTTGAATAGCAATAGGAGAGAATTCACAAGAATGAATTTTTTAAAACAATTTTCCTCACATGTGCCAATTGACTTCGTGATGAGCGGATTATGTTAATTTTGCCGTTCCGATGCTGATGTTTTATCTTAGCAATGACTAGTTTCAGCTGTTCCAGGAAATTTTATTTCTCGGAAAAAATCCACTTGAAAATTGAGAGAATAAAGTTCTGAAAGTAAGTGATGTCAAAGAGCTTTAAGTGCTTTTTGCAAAAAATTAAAATGCATGAAAAATTGAGCTTTATTATTAACATTGTTAAATGTCTATTGTTACTTAGAAATTAAGTTAGGTGGTTCACTTTTACTTTTTTGTGTATACAATTTTAATTTAATTTTTATTATATTAAGGAGGTGAACTTTTGTAACGTAATTAACTTCTCTTTTTTGTTGTCAGCTCGACACAATAATAATTTTTCGTGCATTTAAATTGTCGCTTTCCATGAAGGTAATTTGACAGCTTTGCGTTGTGTTTATTGAAATATTTAGATAAATATCATCAAAGCTCGCTTTCATTTTGTGCTTTATACCCGTTTGATATTTCGTCAATTCTTGCTCTTTTGTGTGACGTATTTTCAAGAAAATATTAATTAAGACAAGTGATGATATGTCTGCTTGGCTTATTCTAAATATATTCTCTCTGATACAATAGAAGTAATAAAGCATTTTCTAAAAATAATAAAATTATTGAGTCGAGAAAAGTGTGATACACATCCTTCAAACTCAAAATTTAGTTTGCAAAACTTTGTTTTCCTGAACTCGTTTTCACCCCATAATTAAATCCTGTCAACATTGAATTTAAAATTACAATTTACCTCAGTTAAAAATTGGGGAGTTCGGAATTGGCAAATTTTACTTCCGGATTTCCATAGTGAAACTTCCACTCTTTGTGGGAGTGTTCGGAATATTTTATTTGTGGATTAATTCTCTGCTACAAGCCGCCAATAAATTACTTTTATCGCTGATTGAAATCTCTCATTTAAAAAGGAAAATCGATTATTGAAACCGGAAAATAGGACGTTTCAGCGATTTTATCCGTCGGTTAGTGCGTTGAACCGGGCAATGAGCGAGTCCTTTTATCCTTCGGACAATCTGTTTATCTTTCGTACTTTGTTTGAGCTGCACCTTTTAATTAATGTCCTCACTAACTAGCACCCTATTTTATTTACCGGAAATTGTTTGCTTCACAGGATTTTCTTCCCTGTTTCGTCTCCTCGGACTAATCCAGAGAGAGAATCATTCCTTATGGAGTATAATACAAATTAGATAGGTAAGTCGACGATTAAATTACTCGGTTAATGAGCCAATCTGGAGAGATTAATACCTTCGTTAATGCTGTTTACCCTAGCTTTAATGCTCCCATTGAAAACGGGTTTTTGAAATTTCAATTTCAATTCCTGAAATTTTTGCAGTTGCTTTTAGTGAAAAACTGCAACCACAAATGGCAAACTACAAAAAAGCAGTCGCATTAGCAAAAGTGGCAATAAGGCATTGACACACATCAACCCAAACGTAATGCGAGTTTAAATGCTTCCACATTTATTTTACGTTAGTTGTATACTTTTCTATTAGAATTCCTAACGTTTATTGTGAGAGAACTAAATAAATTTAAAGTTTCACTTGTCTGGTAAAATCCTTTTTTTTAACTAACAATAACACAGGGCGACAAAAAAAAGTCATGTCGTGACAACTTGACAAATTTTATATCATTTTGTTTGTCTCAGTAAGACAAATCAAATACACTAGAAAAATTTGAAAAAGTTCACACACTTTCATAATTTTTTTCTAATTTAAATGAATTTAAAATACTTTAACTTTAAAAAATCATTACTCAATAACTATTAGGCCGATTTCCTTCAAATAAAGACCATTTTAAAGGTATGGACTTGCCCTTTAGAATGATATGCAATTTGAAATTGAATATTGGCAAACTTTTCTTTGAACAGTGTTCGAAAAGTTCGAAGTAAATCGAAGTAATTTAAAAAAAAACCGTACGAGTAAATCACCATCGTGTAGAGCATCTTTTTAAGATATGATTTTTTGAATTTAGGGTTTGCTATTCAGGTTTTGCGCCATATAGGAGAAATGCATGTTAATCTTACTTAAAAACACATTTTTATAAAAGTATTTGTTTGAAGACTTTTCTTTTGCTTAAAAATGGTCAGTTGCACCTTCTTTGTTCTAATTAGAATAAAAAAAAACTGTTTCTTTACTTAAAACAAACAAGGAGTACCTGTGTACTAATTAAAGCAAATAAAGAGTTTTTTGTTCTAAAAATGATCACTGATCATTGAGCAAAAAGGATCTAGATCTAGTAGCTTTAAATATAAGAACAAAACTTTTTCAAATTAAATGACTTTCCATTCAAAATCCAACCTGTTGACTTTATTCTAGCTTTCTGAACTTTTTTTTGAAAATGTTCTCAGCAAATACTTTTTCGTCACTTTCTACTGATGATGAATGCAATAATAAGTCAGTTGCTTCGTGTGTAACTGTTATCACAACAACTACTACCTACAAGCTAACTGAAACTAATTGTAGAATGTACCAACAAAATAAATCAGGTGACTTATTGCATTTAACATGTCTCAAAAGTGATAAGAATGCATTTGCTCAGAACATTTTCAAAAAAAGTTCAGAAAGCTAGAACAAAGTGAACAAGTCGAAATCTAAATGGAAAGTGATTTGATTTGAAAAAGATTTGCCCTAATATTTAAGGCTCGTGCCTTAAACTTCTAGATCCCCTTTGCTCAATGATCAGTGGTCATTTTTACAACAAAAAAACTCTTTATTTGCTTTAATTAGTACGCATGTACTCTTTATTTGGTTTAAGTAAACAAACACTTTTTGTTTATTGTAATTAGAACAAGGTGCAGTTGACCATTTTTAAGAAAAAAAAAGAGTCTTAAAACTAATACTTTTATAAAAATGCAATTTTAAGTAAGATAATCATGCATTTCTCCTATTTGGCGCAATGCTTGATTAGCAAACCTTAACTTCAAAAAACCATATCTTGAAAACTACTCGGTATATTTTTTTGAAAATTTAGATTCTTACTAATAAAAAGATGCTCTACACGATGGTGACAAAGAAAAAAAATTACTCGTTATTGAGTTATTGAGTAATGATTTTTTAAAGTTAAAGTATTTTAAATTCATTTAAATTAGAAAAAAAATTATTTAATTCAAAGTGTGTAGACTTTTTAATTTTTTTTTAGTGCATTTGATTTGTCTCACTGAGACGAACAAAATGATATAAAATTTGTCAAGTTGTCACGACATGACTTTTTTGTTGCCCTGTGATAATCAGAAATATCTATTGAAATAAAAAAATGTTAAAGCTGCACATACTTCTTGCTAAACCTTCAGAGAAATATGTGCCTGAGACAAATTCGGAGACATACATCTGCTAGTTACTCTACTTCTCCGTCTCACCGAATAATTCATTGCCTTTTAGAGGCACCTCCTAAAATATGCAATTTCTTTTCTTCGGCGTTAGTTAAGTTAGGTTTGAGATAGAGATTTATGGCGTGCTTAAAATGCAAATCGGGTTCATCAAAGAGTTTCCTTGTAAGTTGGGACTAATAATCAGCCTTTTATTTACTGCTTGCGTCCACAAAGTGCACGAGAATAATTACTTGTGCGGAAAGTGTGAAGATATTGATTCGACAATGTCGTGGTTGCTATTGTAAGGGATATAATTCTGACTGTAATACAATAAGGCTTGAGTTAAGGATAATATTTGTATTACACTGGCTTCAAATTTCCAAATGTTAGTTAAGTGTTGGCAAATTGAAATCGGTTTCGAAATTAATTTTGACTATTTAGATTTATGCATATTTTAAAATGAAACAGTTTTATTTGTTTTATGTTTAAAAAAGTAAAATAATTTTTTTCTGTCCACGTACTCTTAAAAATAAATTCAAAGCTGATGCGTCTGATTCTGTCTTGAAGACCGTTTCATATTCGTTTAACGTTTTTGCTTTGCATAATGTTTGATCCTTTTGAAGAAAAAACAAACTGTTTTGGAATTTTTAGAAGAAAGAAAGCATTGTTGGGTGAACTTTAAATTTACGCAGACTTTTGATACTTAGAAAGATGTCTTATTGATTATCTAGAGACTCAATTATTAGACAGCATGTGTGCTTTCTGTAATCATACTAATCCCATATCCAAATAAGCGTTCCAAGAACTCCCACAGCTGCCAACCAGCTACTTCAATTATCATAATTCCCTTAACTAAATTGCGGTAGGTCGTAATGTACCTACTATACCATAAATTTTACCAAGTATTGACTATTCGATCAATGATCGTCAATCCCAAAGGACATCAGTAGCATTTATATTAACTGTGCAGGCTACAATTTGAATTTAATTTAAATTTCCACTTGAGTTATACCTACTTATGTTTGAAAAAATATAAGTACGAATTGCTTACACAAAAACCTTTTATTTGTTTTAAATTTTAATATTGCTTAAACACACAACAGACTACCTTTATATATGCTTTAAATTTTAATATTTAATAATTTTAATAATTAATCTAATGCTTTCATAGCAAAAATCTTAATTAATTTACAAAATACTTTGCCGTTCTAGAACATTTTTTAGATATTTTATTAAAAAAAACTAACAAAAATCAATCGCGCAAAAAATGTCATAAGCATCACGAACGTTAAGGACTTACCGATCTCAGACAACAATTGTTGTCGATAGGTAAAATGTCCTTACCGTTCTTCGTGCTTAATATACTATTACTTCAACCTGTTTTGTTGGGAATAATTATTAAGGGTTTAGTTTTTTGCTTTATTATATTCGCAGAACTTATTATCTTCAAACCATCTAATTAATTTTAAATAGTAGCAAATCTTGTAAACCCACAAGAATAAATATATGGGATCTTAACAAAAACTGAAATTTTAAAACACTAAGTTTTACGTTGTGTACACTTAAATGTATTTTTTCGGTTTGAAACAGTTTGCATCATTTTAAACAACAGTCTTTTAATAAAAATAGTATGTTACCATCAATTAAAAGCTATTTTAATTATTATTACTGTAGCTTTCATTTTAATTATGATTAATAATAACTACAATTAATTATTAATAATTATATAAATAATTGTATTAAGAATTGTAGATCATTTCGGTTTTTAATATTTTTAATAATTTGTAATTATATTTTACTACAATCGAAAAACAAAGGCAACCGCTGCGTTATCATAGAAGCAATATTTGATTCTTTTTATTCATTCATTTGTCACTAGAATGGGGTATTTAATTATTATCAGCAAAAAAAAATGTTTATTTTGTACTCATTGTTAAAAAATGATTATCAACTAGATAAAGTAGTCTTTTATCGTCTAGTGAAATTAAATAATTTTTAACTACTGTTTATATTTTATCAATTAATTTCAGTAGATAAAGTAGTCTTTTATCGTATAGTAAAATAAAGTAATTTTTATCTACTGTTTATATTTAAGAAATTCTGGTAGGTGAGTACAAAATAAAACGAAATATCATACACGACGATAAAGATTGTTTATCTACTCGTGACTTCGTCACTCGTAAACTTAACCTTTTCACTCGTAGATAAACAATCTCTTTATCGTCTTGTATAATAAATAACTATGTATTATTCAGTAATTTTTAATAAACATCTAATTATTTAGCTTTGTTCTAATTATTACCTTTGTTGATTTTACACAAACAAAATGACACTTTACTTTGGTAATTTCATGTTAATAGGTTTATTGATATACAAAAAGTTTTCTACTTCACTTGCAGAAAAAAATAGAACATATTCCTTCTTTTGGCATAACAACGTGTAGACGTGAAAATAGTAAAGATACACTCTTATGTTGCTTATTGAGTTGTTATACCTATATATCTGTTTTGCCTACATGTATTTTAATATAGATTTGAAAGTGTAAAGAAATAATAAAAAAGATAATTTCTACATAATTCATATTATTTTATTCACAACCAGTTTATTATTAGGTTATAATACCACTACTAGAGGACGTCTTATAACATCAATAAACACACGGGTCTTATGAAAAATAGATAGCAACCTTCTCATGATTAGCACTGCTTACTTCCGAATAAAAATTAATCTGTCAAACGCCACTTCAAAATATTGATTTAGTCTATAAGTATTGTTAAGTATTGTTTTGTAATGGAAAATGATTAAAAAAAGTGATTGGTTACTTTTCTATTTAAAATTATGGTGGAAGCGCCGGGCAAATGTGCAATTTCAATAAAATATTTTTATTATAATGTTAGTAAACAATTTAGTTACACCCCATGTATATAAATAAAACTTTACATAATCGATTGTTATTCAAATTAATACATAAATAGACATGCGACAAATATTATCTTATTTTGTTGCTCACTGTTTTTTTTTACAAAAATTAAAGTAGTCGCTTAATCCTACAGTCAATGCAAGAATAACTAATTGTATTTTTTAATAATAAAAAATATTGAATTAGTTTTAAAATGGGTACTTTTCAATTTACCGTTAAAATTGTAACAAAAATCTTTTATTCTGGCTTAGGAATTATTATTACACTATTATTTACGCACGTACTAATTAGTAGTAAAATCTCGCAGTGTCTGTTTACAATTTATTGTTTCTGTGTAATGTTTATTGTTCTACTCTAAGCTCATTACTTCTATTTTTTTGATTATTACTACATCAATAAAGAGCTTTATGCGCCTTAAATAAAAAATGACGCGTTTTATTTCGTGCCCTAAATTACTGTGGCTTGCCAATACAAAATAAATTGTTTGCATTATTGCCCGTATTGATTTTATTATAAGCAAAACAAATGTTTCCATTTTTCATATTTATAAATACTTTCTGCGAGCTTTTGATGCACAAAACTGTGGAAAAATAAATAAAATCACAATTAAAATAGCCCAGTTTTCCAAGCCGATTTCAACACGTCACCCAAAATCACCTCTCTCTTAAAAAACCAGCAACCAACAAGAGTATGTGTAACCCAAGCCGACATCAGTCTACCGAAGTGTAAAACACTTTCCCGTTAAAATCCTTCAATTAATTGGAAGCGTCCCGTGTTGGAACGTATCTCTGTATGATTCCTATCTCTCGTGTTGACCATACGGCATATTAACAAGACAACAAACGCGAGTTCCGGGCACACATCGCCCGTCTCATTCTCTTTCCGGTCAGAGTCCGGGTGAGAGTAGGGCTACAGGTTCAACGTTAAGTTGCAAATTTCCCAAATCGACTGTAGACGGAACCACACGAATCTGCTCGCGAACGTAAAAGCTCATACGCTGAAGATTTAAGCTCAGTCTCATCTGGGATACTGCCTAGCAACTGGGACTTGTTACCTTGCACTGTTTCAGTGAAAAGCACGCGATCCAACGTGTTTGTAGTACACGTTTTTAATTTTTGGTTTGTGGTCAAAAGGCTGTTTTCACAGGCATTTTTTCTGGCGAAGAAAGTTGATGTTGCTGTTTTATAGAAACGAATTTTTATGTTAATCACATTGACGGGCTAGAAAGGTAAGAAATTAGTTTTTTGTGTTTTATTTTCATAATTTAAATTTGCAAAAACTGGGCATTTTAGCTCGTAGGGTTTGATCATTTTTGGCTCTTGAGACAGAATCTGTGAGTTCATGGCATTCTAATAAAATTTATGGAAATGACAGCTTTTTAATTTTGTGTTGGAAATATAGGTATCATATTTTTTAGATTATTATGGAAACTAAATTAAAATGTTTACTTCTTTAATTTTAAAATATGTGACGCAAATTATTTGTAAATTTTATATACGTGGCTATGTTATTCAAAATTAATGTTTT